TTGAACGAGGCCTGATGAGTGAAGAGCTGGATTTGGTATGAAGCGACGAGCGGGGTTCAGTGAAGGCTGATGGGCTGGCAAATGACAAACAAGCAAGTTGGTTCATTTCCAGGCTTAATTGGCGGTAATTGGGTATAGCGGAATACATGACACTGACAACAAGTGATTGAGATCATATTGGGTGCTTTGCTACAATGGGGAATCATTGGTGAGTCTATGCTCATGAAGAAGGTTGCCGCTAGGCATGGGATGGAGCTATCAATGTGAGGAGGTGGTGGCATTGGAGGTCAGCAAGAAACGGCTGACAAGATTTAGCAAAATAACCAAAGCATTGCAGAATGTGAAAGAAGCCGGGATGAAGCAAATGAAGGAGCATGGCGACAAGACCCTGAACTCAGCCCAAAAGCGGCAAGATGAGAGGATCAAGACCGCAGAGGTTGCCAAAAGAAGGTTGGAGAAGGGCGCTGAGCTAAATAAGCTGGAGGAATTGGCATCAGGTTGTCGATGGGGGCCAAGAATGAGGTCTCACAGGGTATTAGTATTGGATGATGAGGCAGGAAGGGAATGGACTGGGAAGAAAGATTGCAATGGTTATGCAGATGGTGTCAAAATATGCAAGACCAGTGAACATGAGAATACCCTATTCAAAGAGTCCAAAGATTGGGCAGGTGGCAAAAAGGATGAGCCAACAATGAGCCAGCATGAGCAAGATGTTCTTGAGAGTTCGAGAAGAGGAAGAAGAAATGAGGTGGCAATAAGACCATAGGATGAGTCATAGGTGTAATTTGTAAGAGTGTGAACAAGGGGGAAAGAAGGCAATTAATTTTAGTATTGCACCACATGTTTGTGAATAAGTCTAGCTGAACGAATTTGGGGGATTGGTGGATACCCCGTCTAGCGAAATTGCAAGAAGATTTCTTTTCAGCTGCAGTGAGTGTCGCAGCAAAAATTGTAGGGCCAACTTGATAGCGGTTGCCAGAAGTTTCAATTTTCTCTTGAGAGATTGCCTTTGAAATGTGTGTATACGTGAGGAATTAAACACTTCATATAATGTTGTTGGATATTAGCTTGCTGTACAACATACAATTTTGTAAGGTCAAGTGCAAAATTTTGGGAAAACGTCGTAAAGGACGGGCCTCCACAACGTCCCATTCCCATGCTTAAGACCTTGTTAATATTATGTACAAACTTGAAAATAGATGATTTTTGTTCTAAAAATCACTCAGATGAGGTTCTTTGTCAAGACACTCCGTGGGATGGTGCGAAATTGTCGCTTGGATGCGCGTCATTGTTTATGCAGTTGGTGCAAAAAAACACCGCAAGTGTGCTCAACTCGCGTGCTATTTCTTCAAGAGCACAGGCAACGCTCCATGTCATGTTGGTGGCCCTCCGGAGGTCAACTGCTTACTTTCTGTTGAATTTTCATTCATTCCAATTCCATGAGTTTCTTTTTACTAGTAGCTACTTGCTCCTAGTAGTATGGCCAGGAGCCCCTAGTAGCGTCCTTGCTCCTAGTAGCGATGCCCGGAGCGCCTAGTAGCTTCCTTATTTTGGCCTTCACAAACAATTTAGGCCAAGTGAAATCGCACTTCTCAGGTGCCATCCGACTCCCCGGATTCTGCCCAGACAACACGTCGAGTCAGGGCAGCTGTCTCAAGATGGAATCCCATGTTATGTTGACACATTGCACGTGAAGCCCTTGCATGTCAATGTCAGCCCAGTGTGAGGTTGTGGCCACCCTTGCATTCCTGCTCATTTGCGTGTGTGCATTGGAGGCTCGAGGGTTGAATCTAGAGATCAGCCGGGTTATATAATACTAGCCACTCTCGAGAGAGCGATACTTCTGGAGGGAAATATCGCTGGTTATCCATCCCAATATTATACTCCCACGGGTTCTGGCGACTTCTCTTTACAAAGTGTGATAGTGTACAACTAAAACTTGTTGCAGCAACAGCTAGCGCCTTGCGCTCATCAAGGGGAGGTGTGACTAGATACACAGACGCATCCACAGTCACTGTTGAAGCCAAGAAACATGTAGGTCCACTGCACGTCACGTGCTAAGAGTGTTCGTTTGTTTTCATACAATGTAGAGAAAAGAGACCGAGTGATTCAATCGTTCGAGGCTAGAGAGCTTTTGTAGTTTGCAACAAGTTCTGCCCTTCAACATGCACGCAAGCACACACACACACACGTGCGGTTTAAAAGTTCGACATTTTATGTGAGTACGTGGCATTGAAAAGGGCTGGATAGGCAGAGGTCTCCCTTACAGACGGAATGCCACCCGAGAATTAAGGGATTTCCTATGAACTAGAATTGCTTCATGAATACCCGACTACCCTTTGCTGGGTGTTGAAAGGTCAAGCTGTGCGAGATGTCCGAGTCGTTTGAAACTAAGAGAGCGAGATTAGACTTCCTGTGATCATGTTTGTTTCATTGGATTCCTCTATTCAATTCTTTGGATTCCTCTATTCAATTCTTTGGTACTGCACAAAGAACTGGTCAAATCGTGAGTCGTAAGATCAGATTTCAACTGAGGCTTGGATTCTCTTCAGATACTTTCACTGCGACGCTCGAGGCAATGGAGGCAAAGGAATAGGGAGGATCAAGTAAAGACTCACTCAAAGGGTTAAATTAGGTTTCCCTAAAAATCTAGGAATCTAGGAACCCAATCATTAGTGCGAGCGCTTGTTCAAGAAAGCTGCCCCCCGCCTGAGGACGGGGGGAGCTTGATTGAAGAAACGTGAGCCATGCTGTTCTATGCTAGACGCTTAAGTAGCTAGGAGCTTACTCCCTTAATTAAGTAGGCGCCTGCTTGATTAAGTAGGAGAGGGAGGGCTATTTTAAAAAGAAAACACAGTAGTTTCTGTTTGAAAGATTTGAAAGCCTGAAAGCGTTTAGGAACCGTTTTTGAGAGTGCTACACTGCAGCGGCTGCAGGTCATGGCCGTGTTTGGCATTGCAAGTGCTGCAGGCTCTTTCGTTATATATTATATTGTCCAATTGTGTTCTCAAGTTGTCAAGGGTTTCTCAAATACTGAAATGACAGACATTGTATTTTTGCTGACTCATGTGATTGAAAATACAGATTGTGAATTAACTTTGGACTGAAATGCTGAGAGATAGGGAAAGGAGCCTTCTCCATTTTGCGACAGATGAGGCTTTTGCTTGTAGAACAGTTTTTGCGGCTCCCTCACGGTTTCTATGAAGTGGGTTCCCAGGTGCGAACATGGTGCGAATCAAACAAGAAAGATCTTCCTGTTTCATTGGCATTATGCAACTTCTTGTGCATGAGCGTATTACCGTACGAATGTCTTTCGTTCATTCTTGGGTATTCTAAGCTCCGCTCTTAGGTCTTGTCTCCTAATGCTTGCTTGTGTCCCTCTTAAGCAACTGCCGGAACTGAATGAAAACGACTGGCTTTGCTCTCTACTCTCTGCATCTCTCTGCATATTCAACTTCATTTTGCTGATCAACCCTTCCCCTGCAAGTACATCAAGTCGATCAAGTCGAGCAGCGTTGCAGTAGAACTCTAGAACCTGCAAAGTCGCCGTAGATGTGTTCTGCGATGTTTTGTTGGATCGGCCAAGAGTCACAGACCACCTGTATGACAAGTGCAGAAGGTAAACATATATGGAACCATAGGGCGTCCGAAGGTGGTGCGTAAGACAAGCACCAAGATCATGTAGAATCCAGTAACCCCTGGTTTTTTTTGCAAGCTGCTCCAGGGCAAACTCATCCAAGACCCTATCCGCTCGCTGCCAGAGCAGCATGTCTACACACGACTGGGTTTTGTGCACTTTGCCAACATCGTGCAGATTACTTTTGCTGTTTGCCAATTCTCGAACAAAGCATATCGAACACTTCACATGGCCGAGGAGTCGAACCAAGTTTGCATATGTTTGCATCAATTCGAGCACAAACGACGAGTGTGGGTGCTCTTCGCGAAAATCCGTCATTGAATGAGAATAATGGAATTGTGGATCCGACATGATCCGACTATGTGATTGGACAGATGCAGGAAAGCTTGCTCACGGGTCCTCCCTCCTGTGATCGGGTTTTCCAAAGAACTGTACAAAGCTTTTGAGTGCCTTGACGATGAGCAAAGCTCTGCAGTCTTGGCTGATTCCATATTCACTGTATGTGCATCCGACCGGATCGAAAAAGAGATGTGCTGCCTTTCTGTCAGCGAAGCTTAAGCGTTTGCCGAGTTTTTCAGGTGTGAAGATGCGGTATATTCAGAAGAAGAGGGCTTTGAGACAAGTTAGACATTTTGATACGTTTATAAAAGACCGCTCCCGACATCTCCCGACAGCTTCCCGTATGTGAATGCCTTTAGCTATACTTTGATCACTTCAGGACAGCCCAAAGGCGGCTCCAAAGGGGCCACAGTCTAAATGCCAAATGCGACGTGTTTTCAATTTAACTGGAGGCTACTAGGAGCAAAGGGCATCGCTACTAGGAGCAAGGACGCTACTAGTAGCTCCTGGCCTTACCACTAGTAACAAGAAGCTACTAGTAACGAAGGCCATGTGTGCAGCTTTGGATAATCACTTTGATCCCACGGGTCTTTTCATCTTAGATTTGACCTCCAAGGTCACCAAACCCACCTGCAAAGACTTCACCCATGCCGCTCGCTTGGCACTGTGGGTCTCTGTCAACGCTGCTTTTTGTGTATTATATAAATCTGCAAAGTGTTTACAATCCTGTATCTATACAAGTCTCTCTATATATATACGTATCTATCCCTACTCACCGGCCATGGCACAGAATTCAAGTGGCTGACCTTTGGAACTGTGTCAGCTGCTTAAGCTCCTCCGCACCGATTTCACCACGAGACGGCCACAACAAGCCATCAATCAACGAAATACATGCAACAGTGAACAGATGCGTACGTTTTCCCTCCAACCTACAAGGTCAATAATCAGCACTCTATTCACAGCCAAGTTCAAGAAGCGTGCCAATTGCAATCAACATTGACAGCGTATTCACAATGTCGATCACTGCTACCACCACCACAAAGCAATCCATGGAGTGAATGAGAGTATTTAATCAGAGGCAAGCAGAAGGGTAGTGCACAGAAGGGTAGGCATTTAGCAGTGAATTGATCTAGGGTCAGCCCATTCAGTGATCAGGTTTGGAAACATGCAGCTGCAGCGAAACCTAATATATAGTACAGTATACACATCATTCATCATTCAGGTTTTCTTAAAGTGTGTAACATAATGCCGACAATTTAGTGGACTAAGAGTACTATGTAATGCAGCTTTCCTAGTTCCAACAGAACTGCTTGCAGTCGCAGCTCCTCTCCAATTGCTTCCAACTCTGTGACTCGGCCATGTTCAGCGTTGAAACATTGAGAGTGTTTGTTCTCGTGCACGTGTATTCAATGCATGATATTCAACAAAAGTTTGCCATGGTCTAGGCCAAAGACACAGCAGAAGCGCAGAGGCGGCTGTTCCCAGAGCTTTAAGTGCACACAACAGTGTGGGTAGCCAGCACGCTGTTGGGTACATTATGGTACATCCAGCCGTGTTTGGATGTTTGGGAGGAGCGAGTCTCCAGACTGGATCCCACGAACACCACCACAGGCAGCTCCTCAGGAGTGGGGGGGGTAGGCCCCAAGTAGAGGTAGGTAGTAGCTAGTAGGGAGAGGTAGCTACTACCTGCAAGTAGCTACTACCTTGGACGCAGGATAGTGCTCGCACTGATGATTTGGTTCCTTAATTGTTAGGGAAACTTAAGAAAATAAATGTGTGAGTATTGTTTCTAAAACATCGAAGCAAAATGAATCATGTAAACCTTCAAGGAAACTCCCCAGTGACCTGAGCAGAGAGTTTGTCCTGGCACCTAGTCGTGGCCAATTGCTACTAGCTGTTTATCATGTCTTATTCCTTAGATGCTACTACTACATGCATTCACTAGCTACTGAAGGTTAGACTACCGCATACTTACCCCCTCCCAAAAGAAGGAACACACAAATGTTCTATCATCCATTTAAAGACCTTATCAGGACGGATAATGAATGTTAGTCTTATGTGTGAAGGAGCCTCGAAAGTCTACCGGCAGTTGGACGACCATTTTTGCAGATGGCCCGAAGGCGTACTGATTGTGCAAAATGTGATAAAATAGTTATGCTTTGCTGAAATAAACATAAGGAAGAATATGAAACATAACATGGAATAATAAATGCATATCATGGGATATCATGGGTTTGATAAATTCATACAAGTGCGTGCTATTGTGTGATTGCATGGCTTGGCACCTTGAGGACAAGCTCAGCTCTGCCAGGCTGCAACATCGTTGTACCGACCAACAGACTCTACCCTTCAGATGCAAGCTGACGGTCGGATCAAATTTAATACCGTTGACATCGCAACTCAGACTGTCTTTGACTCTATACTTCTTTGTGTTTTTTTTTGTCAACTACTTCCATGACAGCATTCTTCCCGCCCTGTTGATCAGTGAAGAGAACGTTGCGGTTGTCAGTGATGAATCCGTGCTAATGCAATGTTGGTCCCCCTTTGCTTTGGCAGGGAATCTGAACTCTCCACTGTGCAGAAAGGCCCACATGTGAACACTCCGCTTGTGGTCTCTAGCCATGGCTGTGTTAAAACTTGCTTTATTTGAAGGTGTGAAGAGTCCAAAGTCGAGTTCTGACTCCACGGAGTACGATGCATTTGCTACAGGCCGACAAAACATTGCAATATCATCATACTCTGACATCATGCAGTCCTGGTAGCTCATAGTCCTTCGTGAACTAGAGAGAAAATACGTGAAGCTCATTGAGCCAAAACATGGCAGGGCCAGAGCCAGCGTTGAAATCTCCACGTGAAAGGCCTGACTGTTAGTAACAACAAGCTACTAGGGGCTCCTGGCCTTACTACTAGAAGCAAGAAGCTACTAGGGGCCCCTGGCATCGCTACTAGGAGCAAGGACGCTACTAGGAGCAAAGGGCATCGCTACTAGGAGCAAGAGGACGCTACTAGGGTAAACACACCGTGTGAGTCACGCCACGCGACACAACGGAGTCTCCCGCTGTGCGTGGCAGGACTGAACAGTCAGAGGAGTCTCTCGCCAGGCGAGAAGCTCCGCGCCACAAAAGATGCTATGTTTCTTGTTATTTCTGTCAAATGGGACAAGACAGATCAGCTTTTCTTGTACTGGATTTCTGTTCAATAGGAAATGTTTGAAGTGATTAGTATTAGTGTCACCTCCACTACACATCACACCACCGATTTTGTGTTATTCTCCTTTTGGCAGCGACTTGAAGCAGCTTCTATGGAGTTGGTGAGATCGGAGAAGTGACAGCTTCCGCAATCACATCAGATGGAATCGAGAGTTTCAAGACCACAAGCTATACATTTGACATTTGATTATTGGCCACAAATAGTTGTGATAGCCTCCACAACCAACATTCCTAAGTTGATGAGTGAATGTTTACAACATATCAAACATTTTGGATGATGATCATTCGTGAGAAGCTTCTTTCGGTGTACGATCGAACAAACGAGGCCAAGTGGGCTTCACGCGATCCACTCAGCTGACTTTGTAGTCAAAGACATTCCAGTGCTTTGCGCTCAAGGCAGCTGTAAAGAACTCTGCCGGAGGCAAGATACCTAGTATTGTAAAACGCTGAATGAAAGTTTTCTTATATACTTTCCTTCAATTTCCTTCGTCAAGTTTGTTTTTCTTTGTGCATTCCTACGCCAGAGGTTCCGAGCCTGACATTGACAGGCAAAGAGCCTAAGCAGTTTGACCAATAATCAGACGGATAATGTTGATGTCTGCAGAGTCTTTGCAGATAGTAGAAGCTGAGAAGTTCTGCGCAGGGAGCAAAGTGAAGGCAAGCCTGGTGGGAAGAATGAAACAGCTGAAAACTCTGAGATCGCTGGAGACTCAAAGTGGTGGTTGAATGTCAGTGGCTTTTGATCTCCAATGGTAGATCTATTCCAAATTGCAACAAATTTATATATATATATATTCATTCCAAGTTTCTTGACGGCTGAGGTCATGAAAGATGCCGGTCCGGGCCAAAAGAGAACATGCTTTGATGTTTCCTTTGATGTTTCTAGACTCTCCAGCATGTTTTAATACTGTGTCAGGGGATTTGGATCGGCCTTCTCCAAGCAAGAGCAGGCAAGCAAACTTGAGACTTGCTGGCATTCCTCAATGTCCTTTTGGAGTTCAAGATTTGCCGATCAATACTGGCGTCAAAAGGGACAACACTTGAAGTGAACAGAGAATGTGGCTTAGACGAGATAGGCGAGCTTTGGCATGGAGAGAATTCAGGAGAAGAATATCCGCAAACCGATTCCCTAACTTCATCAAATGGATGTAGCAACGTGGACACAGGTTAGAGACAGACGAAATGGACAATCTGAAGACGAGTGCAACTTGCCAGCAAAGAATTATATATTTCACACAGCTACGCCGCGTACGCCTTGTGCACGAGCGACGTGCCTGGTTCACTGTACAGGCAGTTGAAGACAAAGGCACGGAAGCAACAAGGACGCCGCTACTGTAGGTGGAGGCCGTGGCGGCCATTGCAAGTAGGTTGGAGGCCATCGCTACTAGGAGCAAGGACGCTACTAGTAGCTCCTGGCATTACTACTAGGAACAATACAGGACATGCAGAGGAGAACCGGTTTTGGGGAAAGGTTCTCCTGTGCCCGGAGGTCCGAGGCGCTTAAGCTAGTACTTACAGTCGCTGCGGTATCAAGTAACCCTTTGGCACAAGCAGTTGGATGGTAGCGGTTTTGACTGCACACTTTACTGCAATGATATTGGCCTTTGTAGACTTCGCTTTGAAGAGTCGCTGAGGAGCCCCGAGAAAAGCCCAGTTGCGGGCTTAGCGTCCAGGTGCACAGGGCTGAAAAGGCTTGAAGCTCTTTTCTAGAGCATTACTTGCCTGGTGCACCAGCCTGCCCAAGTTCGCCTCTCAATGATTTTTCATTGAACTGTGGTGCAGGTCGATCAGGCTGCCGAACCTAGTGACATGCCCGCTGAGCGGGGCACTTGGCACAATGTGAACAGAGAATCACCCTTGAAACACACTGGAGTCACTGGAGTACTCAGCTACAATTGCAGACAGCATTTGCAACCTTTTTCAGGTCCACCAAAGGCAGGGGCATGGGCTCGTTTATTGCAGTCCCTGGCCTTACTACTAGGAGCAATGACGCTGCTAGGGGCTCCTGGCATCGCTACTAATAACAAGAAGCTACTAGGGGCTCCTGGCCTTACTACTCGGAGCAAGGACGCTACTAGGGGCGCCTGGCATCGCTACTAGTAACAAGAAGCTACTAGGGGCTCCTGGCCTTACTACTAGGAGCAAGGACGCTACTAGGGGCTCCTGGCATCGCTACTAGTAACAAGAAGCTACTAGGGGCTCCTGGCCTTACTACTGGGAGCAAGGACGCTACTAGGGGCTCCTGGCATCGCTACTAGTAACAAGAAGCTACAGTTACAGTACTAGGGGCTCCTGGCCTTACTACTAGGAGCAAGGACGCTACTAGGTTCTTAGTCAAAGGAACGATGTGAACATGAATCAAGAGTGCGGCAATGCGTAGGTAGCCGAAGCGGAAGAAGCGGAAGCGGTGAATCTGAGACCTCGGAGTATTCAGTGCCTCTCTCAGACATTTGGGCCATGAATACAAAAGAGGAATCCAGAAAGATCTCGAATAAGCTATTCGTATCTTAAGTTGTCTACCTAAACTGCAATAGCTTAAGGTAGGTTCAGAAGTTGAGAAAGTAGCTAAAAACTGTACTGGAGACTCGAAGCTGAAGAAGACTCTTGCGGTGGTTCTTGGAGCTGTTTCTTAACATATTTTAAGAAGTGTTCCAGTGTTTCCTAAGAATCTGTAAAGATTGATTCTTCTCGTCGTTGCTAGTAGACTAGTACTATAGTAGTAGTAGTAGTAGTAGTAGTAGTAGTAGTAGTAGTAGTAGTA